AGATCTTAATATGGTGGTCTTTGATCTACTAGGGTCGTAGGTTGACTCATGACTAATGCGTCTCCAATAATCTTGATAAGTGATGTTCGTAGTAATTTCATCTTTAACTCATTGTACTCGTGCTTGCTACAAACTCCCGAGAGTAAATATTCATATTAATAGAGAAACTAGTGTAACTCATCCGTATCAACTCTCTATTTAACTTGAATTGGAGCACATCATCAATATTCATGCCTCGAAGCGGACCCATACCGTGAAGGTTGAAAGCACCTCAAATGTCAACTCTCGATAAGCAACGGGTTGAATCCCAAAGAATGCATCTCAACCACCGAGTAGATATCGAATCTGGACCTTCCGGTCTAATCCTAGGGATTGTAGAGTGCCCTAATCTATATATATGCAGCTTCGAAAAGGTTTCTCTTATAGCAACTCATATCGATCTCTATTAGCTCTAGATAATTGGGGCATTGGTCGTCTAAGTGGCGGTCGGGGTGGTTGCTACTCGCTGTTGAGTTTGTCTCGGGGAACCACTAAATGAGCCCTCATCTCATTACCGGGGAGCTTCGTCCTCCGTTGAGGACTCTCCGTGGTTCTTGTCATTTTGCTTAAAGAACAAAGAAGTATGCTCATGACAACCTATATTCATAAGTGTCGTATCTATCAAGATTCAACAAGAAAGTTGTATAAAAGAACAATGCCAAACATTAGTCCATGAATTCCATCAATAATTTTCCGTCACAGATTATACCAAACATGTTATAAGCCTTGTGTTCTATTCATCATTCAAAAAAAAAAAATCCAATATATGTGTAATCTTCCTATCGAAATTCGGATTTAAATCAAATAGATAATTTCTAACAATAAGGGAAGCTAAAAAGTCAATTGATTCAACCCAAAAATAGCAAATGGAAGCATCAAGGATCACATCCCTAAGCACTTGTGCTCATCACTCTCACATGCAATTTATCAAACAGGTGGTGTGCATAAGTATTAGGCACAACCAATTCAAAGAATTATGCAAGGTCATAACCATCCGAAGGTACCAGCCAAAGTATATTGCAACAACAACAAGAAAGCGAGCACCAATTTATATACATACATGATCAAAAACCAGCACAACACATGTAATCTCACCGTTATAATTTATAGTTAAATGTAGGAGAAAAACCCAATACTAATGGCAATCATAACTAAGAAATGAAGAGTGAAATAACACCCAAATGGCTAGTAGTTCTCTCAATTGCAGTAGCAAAACCAAAAATAGGTAACCAAATTATGAAGACCCATTATGATTCAAGCACTAAAATTGAAGAATTCAAAGACCAAACTCGATTCGTGCCCTATGAAGTGAAAATAAGAGAAGAGAAGTGAGTAGTAGTGGCCGGAGATGTCGGAAAAGGTGATGGCTATGTCACGTCGGAGACGCTAGTGGTCGACGGTAAGGGTTAGTAACGACGATGAAAGGGAAGAGACACGAAAATGGTTGGGTTTTGAAAAACATGGGTTTGAAAAATGAGACACGAGGTGGTTTCTTTCGATTGTGTATTTCAAGGTAGAAATACATGGGTCTCGACACGGGCTTGTTTTAGGTAATGTCTTTCTAGTTAAGCATGGAGGACATAATCGGCTTGTTACATGGGCATGGACATAGCCGTGTCCTAGCCCGTGTAACTCTTTATGATTAAAAACAAAGGCCGACTTGTTACACGAGCATGGACACAGTCGTGCCCTAGCCCGTGTAACTCCTTGTGATTAAATCGAAAGGTAGCTTGTTATATGGGCATGGATGCGGTCGTGTCCTACCCCTATAACTCTTTGTAATTTAGAAAAAATGGTAGCTTATTACAGAGGTGTGGACACAGCACGTGTCCTTCCCCATGTAATCTGTAATTTAGACAAAAGGATAGTTTGTTACACGGGTGTGGACACAGTACGTATCCTACATCGTCTAACTCTCTGAAAAAATTAAATGTTTTTTTGAAAAAAATTACAAAAGAAATCCAATAAAAAGGGAAAAATTACAAAAACTAATTAAAAAAAAAAATTGGGTTGCCTCCCAAGAAGCGCTCATTTAACGTCATTAGCTTGATGAACTTCAAATTCATGATTCTATGGGTTGGAGATTGAACTCCTCTCTACCAAGGTTGTCAATATCCCCTCCGAGGTATAACTTTAACCGATGATCATTTACCTTAAACATACCTTTATCTAGATGCGTTATTTCTATAGTGCCATAGAGAAAGACTTGTCTTACCGTGAATGGTCCCGACCAGGTGAGATTTAAGTTTATCGAGAAACAATCGAAGTCTAGTGTTGTACAAGAGTACTTGATCTCCCTCCTTAAGTAGTTTAACTTGCTTAATATTGTGATGATGATACTATTTGGCCCGTTCCTTCTACAGACTTTGCATTCTCATAGGCTACCAAGCGCCATTCCTCAAGCTCATTTATTTGAAGTTTTCTATTCTCATCTACAAGATTAAGGTTAAAATTGACGAGACTTGATTGCCTAATATGCTTTATGTTCAAGTTCCATAGGTAAGTGGCATGCTTTACCATACATTAACATATAAGGTGTGGTGCCTATAGGTCTTTTGTATGCTTGTTCTATAAGCCCATAGAACATCGTCTAGCTTTTTTGACCAATCCTTCCTATGATGCTCAATGGTCTTTTCTAGAATCCTTTTTAGTTCCCTATTAGCTACTTCGACTTAGCCACTAGTTTATGGATAATAAGGGGTAACAACTCTATGTGTAACATCATACTTCATAAGCACTCTAGAAAATTATGTATTACAAAAGTACGTGCTCCTATCACTTATAATTGCCTTAGGTGAAACAAATTGTGAAAACAGACTTTTTCAAAAACTTTACCACCACCCTCTCATCATTAGTGGATAAAGCCCGAGCTTTAACACATTTAGACACATAATCAATTCCAACAAGAATATATTTATTACCATTCGAAATAGGGAAAGGGCCCATGAAGTCAATGCCCCAAATATAAAAAATTTCACATACCAATATATAGTTTTAGGGCATTTCGTCACAACGAGAGATGTTACCCGATCGTTGGCGATTATCATAAGATTTCACATATCTTTGGGCATCCCGAAATAATGTAGGCCAATAAAAACCCGACTCAAACACTTTCTTAGTCGTCCTGTTTACATGGTAGTGTCCACTAGTGGGTCCCGAATGACAATGGTCTAGGATTTTCCATCCCTCCGAGTAGGACACATATCTCTTAATAATCCGGTCCGCATAAATCTTGAACAAATATGGATCCTCCCAAAGGAAATTCTTTAACTCGAAAAAGAATTTCTTCTTTTCTGATGAGTGAGTCTCCTAGGAAGGATCTTAGCGACCAAATAATTAACGATGTCAGCAAACCAAAGGGTTTCAAGATTACTTACCTATGTAATGCTATAGAGGTGCTCATCCGGGAATGCATCATTGATTTCCTCTTCATTAAGTTTTTCCAAATGAGGGTTCTCCAATCAAGATAATGATCTACCGCCAAGTTCTTAGCTCCCGTTTTATCCTTGATTTCTAAATCAAATTCTTGCAACAGACAAGATCCATCTAATCAACTCTGGGTTTAGCATCTAGCTTGTTCAACGGATATCTCAATGCGGAATAGTCGGTGTGTACAACAACCTTGGACAAAATTAAATAAGGCCTAAATTTATCAATCGCAAAAACTAAAGCTAGCAATTCTTTTTTTATGGTAGTATAATTCTCATGTGCATCATTTAAAGTTTTGCTAGCATAGTAAATGGGTTAAAAATGCTTATCTCTATGCTCGTCCAAGGACTACAACAATTGTGAAGTCACCAGGCATCACATATTAGTTCAAAAGGAAGATTCAAATTTGGGGCAACCATTATTGGGGTGTTAATCAATTTTTCTTTCGAGTGGTAAATGCATCTAAACGATCCTCGGTGAAACCAAAAGGCACATCTTTCTCAAGCAACTTGGTTAAAGGCTTAACAATTTTAGAAATGTCTTTTACGAATCTTCGATAAAAGCACACGGACCCAAAAAACTTCTAATAGCCTTAACCGAAATCGGGGGAGCTCATTTTTCAATAGTTTTAATTTTTGCTCTATCTACCTCAATCCCCCTATAAGAGATTTTATGGCCTAAGACTATGCCCACTTGTACCATGAAATGACATTTTTTCCGAGTTTAAAACCGCATTAGTTTCTTCACAATGTTCAAGCACTCGTTTCAAATTATGAAGGCATAAGTCAAAAGAATTACCAAAAATAGAAAAATCATCCATAAATACCTCAATTATGTCCTCCATCGGATCATAAAAAATGGCCATCATGCACCTCTAGAATGTAACAGGTGCGTTGTACAACCCGAACAACATCTTCCTATAAGCAAATGTACTACGGGGACACATGAATATAGTATTTTCCTGGTCTTCCGAGCTATAGGAATATGAAAGTAGCCCGAAAGACCATCTAAGAAGCAGTAATACATGTTTTCGGCTAGTCGCTTTAGCATCCGATCAACAAATGAGAGGGGAAAATGGTCCTTTCTAGTGGCATCATTTAGTTTTCTATAGTTGATACACACTCTCTACCCGATGGTCGTTCTTGTTGGAATCAACTCTTTCTTTTCATTTGGGACTACGGTCATCCCTCATTTCTTTAGAACAACTCCGCACGAGCTCACCCAAGAACTCGTCAAAAATAGGGTAAATCACTCCCGCATCAAGGAGTTTAATTACCTCGGCTTTTATAACTTCGTTCATATTTGGATCAAGCCTCCTTTGAAGTTGCACCACTAGCCTAAACTGATCCTCCATCAAAATTTTATAAGTGCAAAAAGAGGACTAATTCTTTTAATGTCCGAAATTTTTCAAGCAATAACCCTCTTATGCTCTTTAAGAACATTTAACATTTTTTCTTTTTAACCCACCTTTAGCTTGGAAGAAATTATTATGGTAACTTTGAATCTTTTTCAAGAAATACATATTCTAAATGTTACGGTAAAGTTTTCAATTCCAAGTTAGGTGGATCCTCAATGGAGGGCTTTAGTCTCGTTTCTTTACCTCTATCAATCTTCTCAAACGTCTTATTTCGAACCATGAACTCAATAGCCTTTAGATGGGCTACTTGCTCAACTCTAATGGGGTCATCTTCATCATCATCCTCACCTTGAATAATACACGGCTCCAACGGGTCATTATACATAATTCCCTATACTGATTTTGAAACTGCAGTATCAATAGAATCAATAAAATAGCATTTATCATCATGTTCAAGGGAGTGTCTCATATCTTTAGATATAAGAAAAGTTACCTCTTTATCCTCAACCCTAAGAACAAGTTTACCATCACTAACATCAATAATGGCTCTAGCAGTAGCCAAAAATGACCATCATAGGATTAAACGTACTTTCACATCTTCATCCATGTCAAGAATAACAAAGTCAATTGAGCAAATAAATTTATCTACCTTAACCAACACATCTTCAATTTTACCTCTAAAGTATTTTAAAAATCATTCGCTAGTCGTAAGCTCATTCTTATTGGTTTAGGTTCTCCCAACCCCAGTTTCTTAAACATTTTATAAGGCATTAAATTTATCCTAGCCCCAAGATCGGCTAATGCGTTTTCAACTAACAAACCGCCAAATGAGTAAGGGATAGTAAAACTCCCCGGGTCTTGTAATTTTTGAGGTAGCTTGTTTTGTAGGATAGTAGTGCACTCCTCACTCAATGCCACTATTGATAGCTCTTCTAGCTTCCTCTTGTTTGAAAAAAGTTCCTTAAAAAATCTAGCATATTTTGGCATCTCGCGAAAGAGCTTCAACAAATGGTATATTTATATACGGTTGTTTAAAGAGTTTGAGAAATTTACCAAACTATTCATCCATGCGGTCCTTCGCGGCTTTGCGGGATATAGAATGGTAGGATTGGACTCTTTCACTTGGTTGAGGTTGTTTGTTTACTTTTTTTTTTTTACTCTTTACCCTTTTCAATTTTCTTCTCTTCGTCACTTTTCTTCTCTTCTACCCTCAATTCCTTTCCACTTCTAAGGGAGATCGCCTTTACATGTTCTTTGAGATTAGTCTTAGTATTACCGAGCGGACTACCTTGTTGTCTCTCGAAAAAGAACTTAGCAAGTTACCCAATTTGTTTCTCAAGATTATGGATAGAAGCCTCTTGGTTTCTCAATGTCATTTTGTTTGCCTAAAAATGAGATTCGGATGTTTGAATGAACTTATTCATAAGCTCTTCCAAACCGAGTTTTTTTCCCGAGATGAGCTTTGTTACTTGGAATCTTGGTGGATGATTCTGTCTCTATTATCTTTGACCTCCCTAAGAGAAATTGGGGTGATTTCTTCACCCGGGATTGTAAACATTAATGTATGGGTTATTCTAAAAACGAGGAGCATTACCCATATAATTAACTACCTCATTGCAATCTTGGTTTATATGTCCTTCCCCATACAACTCACACTCGCATAACAAGAATTGGTTGCTTGCACTACCGATAGACCATCAATCTTCTTACTTAGAATCTCCATCCGAGCTGCAAGAGCCGTGATCGCATCTACATCATAAATACCTGCTGGTTTATTTGAATTTATTCTAGTTATGCTCCATTGGTAATTGTTCATAACCATCTGCTTTATCAATTTTTGAGTCGCTTTAGGTGTTTTATTAGTTAGAGTGCCTCCAATCGTTGCATCTATCATCCGTCTAGTAGCTAGATTCGATCCATTGTAGAAAGTTTGAACTTACATCAATGTAAGAAGGCTATGGTGTGGGCATCTTCTCAAAAAATTCTTAAACCGCTGTCAAGTGTCATAAAGTGTCTCCGACTCAATTTGTGCAAATGAGGAAATATCATTCTTGAGCGTCATAGTCTTTATAGGTGGAAAGTATTTTACCAAGAACTTCTCGCCAATTAGTTTCGGATGGTGATTGACCCCTTGGGTAGAGAGTTCAACCACTATTTATCTCTAATCCTTAGTGAGAATGGAAATAGTCTCAATCCGATAGCATCATCTCGTAGTCCCATTGATCTTGAATGTGTCGTAAATTTTTGACAAGTTGGCCGAGTGAGCATTCGGGTCTTCATCCCGCAACCCATCAAATTGCACAAACTATTGCACCATTTAAATGATATTCAGCTTGATCTCAAAATTATTGGTCGCAACAATTTGGTCGAAGAATGCTAGATTCTATTACTCGTCGAGTTTGTTCTAGCATAATAAAACATGGTTCTCTCTTCCTCGATCATGACTATCTGCAGTTCTTCTTTCCTCCGACATCCTTCTTCTTTTTCCCTATCCAGCTCTTCTTCTCTTTGTCTAAGATAATTTTTGAGGTTTTGAAGAGCTATTCTTTCTATTTCAGGATTTGGCCTAACTAATTCAGCTTTGGTTGTTTCGAGTCATACACTAACCGGGCTCCCGAAAAGCAAGTACGAACAAAGAAGAGCGTAATTCAAAGAAAACAAGATAAACCAAAATGAAACTAATTAAATGTAACATAAAATAAAATGGCTAGATTAATAAAAAAAAAGGTTTTCCTAATATCTTAATCCTCGACAACGATGCCAAAAACTTGATAGACCTCTTCTAACCTATAGACTTTAGGCAAATGCACCTATCGTTCTATAGTACGATTGACAAAGTATCGAGTGTCGATCCCACAGAGACTATGAGTACTAGTAATCACCTTCTTTTTATTATCTAACCGACAAGGTATAGTGATAATGAATAATTAAAAGAAACAATAACTAAAGCGAGATCACGAAATGCAACAAGAATAACGAAAATAGCTAATCAAGCAATCAATGGTAAAGGCGAGTACCCGGATAGCGAATCCCTCTAAGACCTTCTATGTAATCATAATATCACTCATTCAATCATTCTTTATGTTCATTGGACCATAGGAATTTCTAAATTATGCTAACTTCTTTCTCAAGTTAGCTAACACCTAATCCCAAGTTGATTAATCGAAATCTCTTTCTAATTAACACCCTTAAGATCACTTTAATTCATTTTGTGAATTCCATTATTAGATTTAACTATAATCCGAAAGATTTATTTCGTCCTATTTCTAGGATTGCATGTAACTCTTTTTAGTTATGGTTGATCTAGTCACACTTAGGATTTTTTAGTCTCATAATATGAAATTAGGTATGAATCAACACGCTAGCATATGCAAATTGAATTAAATAATAGTTACAACATAACTGAATCACAATGAAAATAAAGATTGAGTTGAATAAAGATATTATATCACACCATCAATCTTAGGGTTCATCGTATCTAGGTACCGATATAATTTAGTCCATGGTCAAAGTGAAGAATACATAAATCTTGAATAGAGAACAATAAACATTCACGGAAAACATTATAACCCCTTTACTCTTAATGCAATCTCCTCAAAAATCGATAGGGATCCATTCCAACGAGCATTATATTACTCAAAACCCCACTTTTCTCGAGCTTCTAGGTCATGTTTTTTCTCTCCAAGTCGACCCCCCAACCCTAGGTTGTGTTTCGGCTTAAATATGAGCAAAATTATGCATTTCGTAAGACACGGCCTAGTACACGGTCGTGTCTTTACCCGTGTAATGCAAAATTTTATTTTTCTTGAATCGGACGAGTTACACGGCCTAGTACACGATCGTGTCTCTGCTCATGTAATGCAAAATTTCATTTTTCTTTAATCGGATAGTTACACGACCTATTACACGGGTGTGTCTTTGGATGTGTAATTCACTAGTCATTTGAATGCACCAATTTTGCTCCATTCTTGCTTGGTTTCCATTCTTTTTCATCAAAATAACATTGCGGGGCTCGAGAAACACACTTTAAGCAAGGTAAGTGCCAAAATTATACCATTTATCACCAAAGACAATTAAAATATAAGAAATTTGACACTTAAAATATGCATAAATGGGCACTTATCGGTAACTCCTTTGACATACAAGAAATGAAACCTATCTCCATTAGATTCGTAGTGCATCCAATGAATCACCCATGTGCAATCCTTTACTAGATCCATTGAAACGAGTGTCAAAGTTCATAAATCCTCTAATGAGACTAAACCAAATGGGTTCTCATGGTGAGTCAAGTCTAGTGATATATTTTCTAACATAAATCACCTAAGTGCTTGCTTTGGCATCACTATGTCAATAAATATGAGATCTCCTACTTGCTATCATATACCATAAGCATGACACTCACAAGTCTATCCATATATATTTAATGTCCATTCTTGATAATGCTATGACTTGGGATGTTTAATGATATCATTTATATACATTAGTATTTGTCTCACATCTTTTGATCAATCATTATTGTAAATGCATATTAGAAGTACTTGTATCTAATTTTAGTAAATTAATAAACATAAAACATAAGAATTAATAGAAAGACTTCTTTTATTATTATTAAAATAAATGATGCAATAAAAAAAACTTAAACCCATCCAAATATTGTTGGATCTTGGGCACCTATACTAACGGTGCTTACATTTTAGAAATGTGTATGAGCTTAGAAAGTGAAGGAAGATAGCTTCGAGGGAGGATGACTTATATAATAGTAATGGATCAAGAGTTGGACTATTAGTTAGAGACACTTATAAGTTAGCACTACCATGTAGGCTTGTGCTTAGACTCAATAAGTATTATTATTTTTTTCCTAGGTATAGTCAAAGGATATTATTTCCATTTCTTGTTTGAAATACGTTTTTTATTTTATTTAAGAATAACGATTGTTATTTTTAAAGATGAATTATTATATAAAAATGTTTTGATTGATAATAATTCTATATTTGATTTATAATAATTTTATATTTTGAACATAATGTAACTTCTATATATATAACATAAATGCTAAAAGACTCATAAGATCTAAATAAATGTATATTTATAGCATTGTAAAACTTGGCTATATTAAAAGAATTATATATCCAAACTAATGGATACATAGAATCATTTGATGATGTCTATGATTTCTATTCACTTGGCAAAATGACATGAATTCGCTTTTAGTGAAAAAGGAGAAAGAGCTACTAATTTTATTAGGCCTTATACTTGAAGATGTATTTAGGCTTGTGTTCACCCATATAAGAGAAGGACATGATTATTTCATAACCTTCATTGATGATATATCATATTTTGCTTATGTATGCAATACAAGTCTAAAGCATTTGAAAGGTTTAAAGA